TTACCTGCCATTTCTAGTGTTTACCCAGATGTAATGCAACTAAGAAAAAGATGGACAGAAACATTTTGAAATGGTGGATGAACCACTGGGCAGATATTCAGCTGCTGTGTTTCTAAATTTAACCAAAATATACAATGAGGGAATTTAAATCAAGAATTGTATTAGTTCGTATTCAGATAATTTCATGAAACTTCTCTCAAAACTGCCCTTCCTGACAAGGGGCATTACAAAAAAGGAGAAAAAGCAATGCCTTGATTCATGGACCTTAACAAGAGTGACCAAACAATTCATCATCTTAGCTGGGAAAATTTTGAGAGTGTAAGGGGATGCTAATAAAAATTATGTCAGATAAACAGGCATAAACCAGGACTGTCCTGGATACCCTTTGGAGTCATAGACTCTTTGGAAAAAGGATGGAAACTGTAGTTTCTTTCTATGGAAAATTTTTACCTTAAGTTACAGGCTATATTCACCCCCTAAAGCCTGTCCAGTACACTTGACTGAGAATCTCTAACCTATATTATCTTTTGTCCACCTAAGTATGCTGCTCCTTCAGTAAACTCACAGCTCACATGAAAGGGTTAAATTGAACTTCAAACTTCCCCAAATTAAAGCAGAAAAACAATAATATACAGTTATTTGCTGTAACTGATATATGCTTTCAATAATTATGGCTATAAAGTTCCTATCTGTGGAGAAAATCCTGTTTTCTATAGTTTGCATTTTAAAGTGGGAGATCTGGGGTATCTGGGTGGCTTAGTTGGTTAAGTGTCTGACTTTAGCTCAAGTCATGATCTCACAGTTCGTGGGTTCAAGCCTCACATCGGGCTCTGTGGTGACAGCTCAGAGCCTGGAGCCTGTTTCAGATTCTGTATCTCTCTCTCTTGCTCTCAAAAATAAACATTAAAACAAAATTTTAATAAAAAAGTTAAAAAAATTAAGTTGGAAATATGTTAAATATATTTCTATCTATAAGAGCATAGTAATTACTTTCGACATAGATTTGTTTTTTTCAAAAAAAAATTTTTTTCAGTACTTTCAAAAGGCAACCTAAGCTTTTTGTCCTTGATCTCCTTTTGGTCTCCTTGACACACAGTTATAAAATCACCTAGCCTGTCATAATGTCTGATGGAGCTTGATTACTGTACTACATCAGGCCAGTAAGTGCCCCTGGAACATGCTAGGCTTCTTTGGGAAAATCGTTCTTAAACTTTACAGTTTTTGTGTTTTCAAAATTTTAATGTGATTATAATAATTTTATTATAAAGCTTAAGTAATGCTTCATGATGGGCAATGAGAAAAAAAATCTATGTTTGGCAAGAAGTAGTCATAGGCTGTCACCAGTCACGCATCCCAAATGATGCACACACACATATACATGTGCATTTTGGGAATAGACTTTTATCTCAAGGACTATTCTTTCTAAACAATTATTTTTATTTATTTTTATATATTTATTTGTAAACATTTATTTATGTATTTATTTTTGAGAGAGAGCAGGGGAGGAACAGAGAGAGGAGGAGAGAAAGAATCCCACGCTGGTTCCACGTGATCAGCACAGAGCCCAAAGTCAGGCTCAAACTCACAAACTGCAAGATCATGACCTGAGCTGCAATCAAGAGTCAGAGGCTTACCTGACTGAGCCACTCAAGCACCCTGACAATATTTTTTAAATCTAAAGTTACTGCAACTTCATTGTAGAAAATTTGAAATCACGCACAAAAAGTATATAATAGAAAATGTTTAAATCACCCATAATTCTACCTTCTAGAGATAATTACCAATAACCTATGTCTATGTGTTTTTCTATTTACTTTCTATGTATAGTAAACAGATTTAAAGAGTACATATATACATATATATGTACTTTACACACACACACAAACACACACACACACACACACACACACACACACAATCTCCTGCTTGTATTTTTTAAGCTTATATAAAAGCATAGGCATTTTCCAGAAATCTAGAACTTAGAGTCAGAGAACACATTAATGATCTCCTTGTTTAATGTTATATTACAGATGAAGAAATTAAGACATGGGTTTTGCATCTACTTTTTGATTTTTCAATGAATAAACACACAAAGAACCTGTATTTTGAGAAAGTAAATATATTTATTGATGTTCTCAAATTTAGATGTCACATTAATAAACGTATGAGTTCAATATGATAGCTACAACTACACTGTTTTGAATAGTACCTGAAAGATTACAAACAGCTTCCTGGTATATTATTTTCTTTAATCCCTAGAGTATGAGAGATACTATTACTATTATAATTCCCATTTTAACATTAGAGAACTGAAATTCAAACAGGTCAAACTGTATGCCAAAATCATATAAGATGCTTTGATTTCACACTGCATATTGGTTTTAGTATAGTATTATATTCCGGGCAGTAAAGTTTAAGAAATACAACCGATCCTTAGATGACCTTACAGTTCTGAAGAAGAAACAAGAATATATGAACAGCCAGACAAAAAAGCAAAAATACCTAGAATTCAGTGAACATTCCCTAGGGACTAAGCCCTGTGCTAATGAATTTTCTTGCATTACCTGATTTGATCTATGAACTATTTCCCCCATTTTACATGTATAAAACCAAAGCTTAGGGAGATCAAATGATAAACTGATTAAGGTAGAATTCAGTTCCAGGCAGCTGGATGACATAATCATTATACTGAATAATGATGTAAATACAATGAAGCTTCTTCACCAAACATCTTGAAATTGTTTCTGTACCATTAAATCTGACATCTTTCTGAATGTTGGAGTACTTGGAAGAAGCTTCCATAAAAGTTGTAGGGTGTTAGGTTATTGATAGTCAAGTAGACACTTAGACTGGACTTTGACATTAAGTAGCAACAAATGGATGAAGTGAGAGTAAGAACAGAACTATTGTCATTGCAGAAGTGGAAAAAGCAAGAGAAGAGTAGAAACAAGAATGTGGCATTTCCATTCAGCATAGAACAGTGTAGCATTTCCATTCACTACAAAGTGCAGCCAGAATACTGAGACCCTAGCTCGAATAAGCATTTAGAGCCAGATCAGGAAGGGCCAGGAATGCCGAGATGAAGAGTTTGGGCTTTGCCATTAAAGAAATGAGGGCCACTGAAGATTTTTAAATATGAAAGTCTAACAGTGGTGTGCCACTGGGGAGATGTGCCTGGAAGGAGAGGATGTCTAGGTTAGCATAATTGACATTGAGCAGGAGCAGCTGTCAGGTGCTTCAGCCTAAAAGCTCATCTTTGGTTTTGCCTACAGAGTTAAGAAAAAGAATCCTTGCTGTCCATGGTTCTATTGCAGCTACAGCCTGAGGCAAGGTTGGAAAAAAAAAAATAGATGTCAGTCTGGATTGCTTTTGTTGAAAAGCAAAAAAAGAGAGCATAAACTCTGCTCTGCTTTAGCAGTATGGATTTTAGGATTCACATTTCAATGGTTCTCAAGACTGGCTGCACGTTAACGTTACCTGGGGCACTATTCAAAGGCACAAAAGCTCTGGATCCACCTCTGGAAACTCTGCTTTGATTTCCTGAGGGAGGAGCCCAAGATTGAGAATTTTGAAATCTCCCAGATTATTCTAATGTGCAGCAATGGGTCAAGAACCATAGCTGCAATGGAGGAAGTTAAAATTAGTACTGTGTGTGTCTTTCCTTATGGTCTTAAAACAAAATTGCCTTTCCAAATCTGTTGTTTAAACCTGAGCATCCAGCCTCTTATAGCCAGAACATGGTCAAGTATTTTAGAAGGTATCTTTGGATGTTTTCTTTTACATTTCTGTATAACTTCACTGCACAGGCCAAGAGAAGGAAAAACATAAGTGTCCTGTCAGGGCTTATTACCCCACCTCCTTGATTCTACCTGTCTTACATTTCTCAATATATAGGGCAGGAGCTAATCTTACACACAAACTTACCATCCAGACCTACCTTTTTGGCTCATCTTTTTATTTTCCCTCCACTGACTGTTGACTCATTCACAACTATCATGTTCTTAGCAACTGGTGCCCAATACAAGTCAAACACTCTTTTCTCCAGAAGCCTTTGGTTGAATTATTCTGAAGGGCTCAGCCAAGGCAAGTATCACCTCCTTCACGAGTTTTCACTGGTGGACTCGATCCTGAGATATCATTTTTCCTCACTTATTGGTAGCTATGTCAGAAACAGGGCCTTGAGGCATCAAGCTTTTTGTATGTAAGGCTTTTATCTCTTCCTCCTCAAAATGCAATGCCTTGAGTACCTTTATATCCTGCTCAGAATAGATGCTCCATGTACCTTCCCTAACAGTCTTCTATGATAAACTACTATATTCATCATGCCTTATGTCTTCTTGTGTGTCCTGATGCTCAGAGTGTATAATACTCTCTTACTTTTGTTAATTTTCTGTTTCTCATCTGCTCATTTTAAATAGAATTAGTGATTCATGGACTGTAGCTTTCCTGAGGCAACTTCCACAGGCTCTTGGATTCTTCCTTTTAGGATAGGACCTGGAAACTTAAATGTTTTTACAGCTCCTAGATGGTTTGGATTGTTAGCCAAGTTTGGAAAGAACTTTCTAGAGCAATATTTTAATCTTATAGGGCTATGCATAAGTAATGCATTATTATACTGTGACTCAATACTCCACACACCCATAACTGAAACAAGTATATATCTATCTTTAGTATTCCTGTATTTTCTATTCTATTCTATTCTATTCTATTCTATTCTATTCTATTCTATTCTAATCTATATATTCATTGAATATGATCTATCTATTCATGATCTTGCAATTCTCTATTGGATTGCAACTATTACTTTCAGAAGTACTCTTCTAAAATCTAGCACAGAGTTACTCACATAGGTATTAAAAATGCTAGTGGTATTGATTTATATACTTTTGTTTTACTTCTAGGGAATGCTTTTTACTTAAAAATCTTTCCTTATCCCATTTCTCTCTCTTTTAAACTAAGTTATGAGTGTGAGCCACTTCCCTGAGGCTACTTACTCCATTCCAGTTCTCTGTTTCTTTAAATCTTCAGAAGTCTTGGTGCTTCCAGGAAGCATTTGTTAGGAGAACCTCAGCTCCAGCCATGGGACAAGCTCCAGCCTAGAGGACAAGGAAGTGCTTTCATTCAACACCATAAGGACCTTAACAATATCTTGGTTGTGTGTATCATATGTCTTCTTTGGTGGACTTTAGCATTCTGAAGAATACAGACTTTGCCTGCCTCTATCTTTATTTCAAGAAATGGCAATACTGCTGTATACCATTTGTTTGTTCAAGGCATAGTTGTTGAGCGGTTGTCTTGTGCCTCCTCGCTTGGTCTATGTGTAATAAAACTTGACATCAATTTATTCAGGCAGAGACCTCTTAATACACCAAGCTGTCACTTATAGCTTCCCAGTTGAGACAAGATGGTTGACACTTGCACCAAAATGGATTGTGTCACCTCTTTTCCAAAGTGAGAAAGGAAGGATGGGATCTAAGCCAAAGGTAATCAGCAATACAGAAACTTATTCATTTCATAATTGCTGATGAGGCCCTAAAAATAACTGACCAGTCAAAAATCACTTATTGCATAAGCAGAGTTATGAACAGCCCTCTCAGTTGTCTCTTCTGTGTTAAGTAGACTTAGAATGGTGCTAAGAGGACCCCTCTGAGCTTGAAGGTCTTTTAGACACTTGGCAAAAGCTTATGCAAAGTACCTTACCTTAGCATGCTAGATTTCATATGGATGCTGGTGGATGCTGCCCAGAGAAAATGTCTAGATTAAAAACTTGGTTTATGGGTAATATACTGTACTCAGGATGAAATTCCTGGGGTTAAACTTGGGCTTGCCTTTTTAAATGTTCCATTTTAGCTATTTAGGTTGTGGTAGGCTACATCATGACCATATTACAAAAATTATGCAGGAAAATAATAATAGTTAAGACAGAACATCTCCATGCAGAAAGCCTGATTTTTTATAAAATGAGATCTAGGTAAATTTATAGGACCATATTTTATATACATTCATAGACACAGAGACATATTCGTACATATATAAATACATACATACATTTATAGACTAACTAATATCATTAAAGAGGCCCAAATTCTGTTGGACACGTGTAGTTGTGTAAGGAGAGATAATGAACTCCTCTAAACTGACTATTGATATTTAAGACTGATAACTTCTTTGAATGAATTGGATTAAATAATTGCATGACGATCATAAGATACAATTTCCTTTTGATTTTTATAAATTTGCTTTACAGATTTCTTTTCATTCATTCAACAATAATTTATTGAGTACTCATGATGTGTCAGGCAAAATGCCAGGTTCCTGACATTAAGAAGCTCTTAATCTAGTCAGAAAGCATGTAAACAAAAAGATTTTTTGAATGATAAGGTTCAATAGAAAATATAATAAAAGCCTTCTTGGCTAATGTAATTCAAACCTGTATTTTGTATGTTTGTAAAGTTAGTTAAAGAGAAGAACTATAAAAAAATACAAATGCTACAAATGCTATCCATTTTGCTTAAAATCATAATTAACTAGTTTTAATGTAAGTCCAAGGACTTTTTTTATAGGCTCATTAACTGGAGTTTCGTATGGTCATCCTTACACAAATCACATCCATAACGCATTGCATACAATTTCTAATTTTATTTTTGTTTAAAGAAGTGAAAAGTAAAAAATATATCAAAAAACCATCTGATTTTGAACACCTCTGGAAATTATATTTTTGCTCTTACTCATAATTTTTCACCCATCCCTAATTGGACTTGCTTTTATCAAGTCTTTCTAAACCAATTAACTTGTTTTTCATGGAAAAAATATCTCCTTTTATTTCACACTCCTATCTCATACGTTTAAATAATATATGATTGAATTACATAATTACTATGAAAAGTTGGTCATAAACAAATTTGGGAAGGAATATGGTTGTTTTTTGGGAAGTATGCCATTTGAATGCTGGTAGGAATTAAAGTATGTGATGCACTAGGTAGTATAGGACCATCCTCACACATTCAGTGTAGCCTGTCTGTTGTTGTATAGGAGAAGGAAAACATAAGTTAACGTGATAAATTAGTTATTTGAAAAGCTGAGAGAATTCTTAGGATAAGAGGTCCTATAACTGAAAGTCCAGCACAATGGAGCAAGGGCATGGAAGTATCTAACTGGCTGCAGAAGTTAGAGACAGATTCATGGAGGTGATGGTATTAGAACTGGATTTTGAGGCCTGAGTAGAAATTTTCTACATGAAGTAGGGGGTAAGGGATACTTCAGTCCAAGGAAACATCTTGTACAAAGGCAGAGAGTCAAGAAGGATGTGCTGTTTGAGGAGGATTTAGAAGTTGGGGCTTAGTGTACATAGGATTCAATGGGCAGAACAGTAAAAGATGAAAGAGTAGGAGGATGGTGTAGATTGTAGAGGAGTATACTAATAATTAGATACTTAAGATATAAGTTAGAAAACATGATTTATTAACTTATAAGAGTAAGCAGGGTACTTATGAGGTATATACTAAGTGAATGCAAATGAAAGCAATGAAGTGCCTGCTACTGTGCATCACTTTTGGCAAAATAACCAAGTTAAGAGTAAATGTTGCCTAGAATGTAAAATATATTTAAAAAATAGAAGTTGTCCTCCAAGTAGAAGGCTTGAAATAATGCTTGTTATATGAAAAAGCCTTGTGTGTCTCAAAACTCAACATTTAAAAAAAAAATCCAACTAGAAAATGGGGAAAAACATGCACAGACATTTCAATGAAGAGGATACACAGATGGCAAATAAACACACGAAAAGATGTTCAATATCATCGGCTATTAGAGAAATGCACATTTTAAAAAATTTTTTTTATGTCTTTATTTTGAGAGAGAGACAGAGAGTGACCAGGGGAGGGTCAGAGAGAGAGGGAGATACAGAATCTGAAGCAGGCTCCAGGCTCTGAGCTGTCAGCACAGGCCCAATGTGGGGCTCGAACCCACACACTGTGAGATCATGACCTGAGCCGAAGTCAGATGCTTAACCGACTGAGCCACCCAGGCGCCCTGAGAAATGCAAATTTCAATTGCAGTGAGGTACCACTAAAATCCTATCAGAATGGCTAAATGAAAAATGGTGGTGAGGATGCAGAGAAACTGGATCACTCACACACTGCCGGTGGGAATGTAGAATAATAACAGCTACTTTAGAAAATGGTTTCTTTCAAAACTGAAAAAATCTATTAAATATCCAATTCAGAAATTCCAGTCGAGTATCTACCTCAGAGAAAGGAAGACTTATCTTCATGCAACAATATTATGCAAATGTTTAGACCATATTTGAGATACTTCCTAACTGGAAACATGGAAATGACCCATGTATCCTTTAATAGGTGCATGGTTAAATAAACTGTGGTAATCCACACCATGGAATACTATTTAGCAATAACAAGGAAAAAACTATTGGTCTATACAAAATGTAGATGAACCTCAAGAAAAGTACTCTGAATAAAAAAAAAAAATCTCAAAAAGTATAACATGATTGCATTCATGTAACACTCACGCAAAAACATAATTATAGAGATGGAGAACAGATTAGTGGTTTCCAGGGATTAAGGATATTGAGGAGGGCATGTAAAGTGTGGCTTTAAAGGGATAACATCAGAGAAATCCTTGATCATAATGGTACAGCTGAGCATACTGATTGTGGTGACAGTTATGCAAGGCTACAATTTGATATTTCATAGAACGTTACACACACACCTACATAAATTAGTGTAACTATAATTGTTAAGATTTTAATAAACTCAGTGGATTATGCTAATGTCAAATTCCTGGTTTTAATTATGTAGTAGAGTTGTGTAAGATGTTAACATTGAGGGAGCATGAAAGAATGGTACACTAGACTTCCCTTGCACATTTCCTTGCAGATTCCTGTGAATATAGTTATTTCCAAATATTTCAAAAAAGTTTTTTAAAACTCTGTGCATGTGTTATAACTTTGATATGTCCAACCCATTGTGCTAAGTGTCAATGCTCAATGATGTCTGTCACCTGGTAGTAACTCTGTGTTGGTAATTCTTGGCTAGGATGTGGAAAATCTATTCAGTATTAAATAGTTCAAAGCCATAATACATGTCATGGATCCATCTGTTACCTCTAAGTGACAGGTTCTATGATGGCTGGCTTCACAATTCCCTGAATACCTTGTATAACATGGGCCATGGCAAGACAGAATTGTTCCTGGGAAATGCATATTGATTATATATATATGTGATATATATATGATTATACATACATATATATATACACACATATATATAATACAGTGCTAGCATCTAGTGCAATAATGCTAGCATCTAGTGCAATAATGATTTCAATAGTGCAATAATGATTTCAGAAGTAGATTCCAGTGACTGATTCCCTGTGTATAACACACAGTGCTCATTCCAACAAGTGTCTTCCTTACCCATTTAGCCCACCACCTTCCCACAACCCCTCCAGTTTGTTCCCTGTGTTTAAGAGTCTCTTATATTTTGTCCCCCTCCCTGTTTTTGAATTATTTTCACTTCCCTTCCCTTATGTTCATCTGCTTTGTATCTTAAACTCCACATATGAGTAAAGTCACATAATACTTATCTTCCTCTGACTTATTTTGGCTAGCATAATACCCTCTAGTTCCATGCACACTGTTGCAAATGGCAAGGTTTCATTCTTTCTGATTGCCTAGTAATACTCCATACTCCATTGTGTGTGTGTGTACACTACATCTTCTTTATCCATTCATTTGTTGATGGACATTTGGGCTCTTTCCATATTTTGGTTATTGTTGATAGTGCTGCTATAAACATTGGCGTGCATTTGCCCCTTTGAAACAGCATACCTGTATCTCTTGGATAAATGCCTGTAGTGCAATTCCTGGGTTATAGGGTAGTTCTATTTTTAATTTTTTGAGGAACCTCCATACTCTTTTCCAGAGTGGCTCCAGCAGTTTACATTCCCCCCAGCAGTGCAAAAGAGATCCTCTTTCTCCGCATCTTCACCAACATCTGTTGTTGCTTGAGTTATTAATGTTAGCTCTTCTGATAGGTGTGAGGTGGTATCTCACTGTGGTTTTAATTTGTATTTCCCTGAT